AAGTTTCTACATGTACAATTCAGTGACATCGATTACATTCTTCCAGTTGTGCTGCTATTCTCACTATCCTTTTCCAAATTATTCCATCACCATTACCTTTAACTCACTGCCCCCTAGGCTTCCCATCAAACCTTCTGAGTTGCTGTTGTCAATTTGATCTCACATAGATAATTCTTTTTTTTTTCTTTGTATACAGAACAAATTCTCATTAAACAGTACACATGTTGCCCTATGACAATGGTTAACAACCCCACGACATGTCAACACTGTCCTTTCTTTTCAACCTTGGGCTCCCTATCACCAGCTTTCCTGTCCCCTCCTGCCTTCTAGTCCTTGTCCCTGGAGTGCTGTAGGTATACCTCATTTTATTGTATTTCACAGATACTGTGATTTTTACAAATTGAAGGTTTGTGGCAACCCTGTGTTGAGTCTATCGACACCATTTTTCCAACAGTATGTGCTCACTTCGTGTCTCTATGTCATATTTTGGTAATTCTCGCAATATTTCAAACTTTTTCATTATTATTATACCTGTTATGGTGATCTATGTTCAGTGATCTTTGATGTTACTATTGTAATTGTTTTGAGGTGCCACAAACCCTGCCCACATAAGACGGCAAACTTACTTGATAAATGTGTGTGTTCTGACTGCTCCACCACCCAGCCGTTCCCCACTCCCTCCTTGGGCTTCTCTCTTCCCTGAGACACGACAATATTGAAATCAGGTCAGTTAATAACCCTACAATGGCCTCTAAGTGTTCACGTGAAAGGAAGACTCGCACGTCTCACTTTAAATCAAAAGGTAGGAATGATTAAGCTTAGTAAGGAAAGCACGTTGAAAGCCGAGACAGCCCGAAAGCTAGGCCTCTTGTACCAAACAGTCAAGGTGTGAATGCAAATGAACAGCTCTTGAAGGAAATTAAAAGTGCTACTCCAGTGAACACATGAATGATAAGAAAGCAAAACAGCCTTACTGCTGATACAGAGAAAGTTTTCGTGGTCTGGATAGAAGATCAAACCAGCCACAACATTCCCTTAAGCCGAAACCTAATCCAGAGCAAGGCTCTCTCTTCAATTCTGTGAAGGCTGGGAGAGGTGAGGAAGCTGCAGAAGAAAAGTTTGAAGCTAGCAGAGGTTGGTTCATGAGGTTTAAGGAAAGAAGCCGTCTCTGTAACATAAAAATGCAAGGTGAATTCCCGAGGCCAACTCTTCAGACAAAGATTGGACTGGACTCTGGGACATAACATGACACTCGTGAAGAGTGTGCTTCTTAGCTCAAGTAGATACATGAGACTAAATAGGCAGCTTCTGTCCGGAGGAGAGATGGGAAGGCAGAGAGGGTCAGGAGCTGTTTGAATGGACACAGGAAATCGGATGGAAAGGAGGAGCGTGCTGTCACAGTATAGGGAGGGCAACTAGGGTCACGTAACTATATAAACTTTTGTATAAGAGACTAACTTGAATTGTAAACTTCCGCTTAAAGTACAACAACAACAACAACAAAAAGCAAGGTGAAGCAGCAAGTGCTGATGTAGAAGCTGCAGTGTGTTATCCAGAAGATCTAGCAAAGATAACTGATGAAGGTGGCTACACTAAATAATAGATTTTCAATATAGATGAAACAGCCTTATATTGAAAGACGATGCCATCTAGGACTTTCATAGCTAGAGAGAAGTCAACGCCTGGCTCCAAAGGACCGCTGACTCTCTTGTTAGCGTCTAATGTAGCTGGTGACTTTAAGCTGAAGCCAGTGCTCATTTACCATTCCAAAAATCCTAGGGCCCTTAAGAATTATGATAATTCTACTCTGCCTGTGCTCTGTAAATGAAACAACAAAGCCTGGATGACGGAACATCTGTTTACGACATGGCTTACTGAATATTTTAAGCCTACTATTGAGACCTACTGCTCAGAAAAAGATTCCTTTCAAAATATTACTGCTCATCGACAACGCACCTGGTCACCCAAGAGCTCTGATGTAGTTGTACAAGGAGATTAATGTTGTTTTCATGCCTGCTAACACAATATCCATTCTGCAGCCCATGGATCAAAGAGCAATTTCGACTTGCAAGTCTTATTATTTAAGAAATACATTTTGTAAGGCTATAGCTGCCATAGATAGTGATTCCTCTGATGGATCTGCGCAAAGTAAACTGAAAACCTTCTGGAAACAATTCACCATTCTAGATGCCATTAAGAACATTCATGATTCACAGAAGGAGGTCAAAATATCAACATTAACAGAAGTTTGGAAGAAGTTGATTCCAACCCTCATGGATGACTTTGAGGGGTTCAAGACTTTAGTGGAGGAAGTAACTACAGATGTGGTGGAAAGAGCGTTAGAAGTGGAGCCTGAAGATGTGACTGAATTGCTACAATCTCATGATAAAACTTTAACGGATGAGGAGTTGCTTCTTATGGATGAGCAAAGAAAGTGGTTTCTTGAGATGGAATCTATTCCTGGTAAAGAAGCTTTGAAGATGCTTTCAACATTGCTGAAATTACAACAAAGGATTCAGAACACTGCATAAACTTAGTTGATAAAGCAGCAGCAGGGTCTGAGAGGACTGAATCCAATTCTGAAAGAGGTTCTACTGTAGGTAAAATGCTACCAAATAGCATCACATGCTACAGAGAAATCTTTGGTGAAAGGAAGAGTTAATTGATGTGGCAAACTTCACTGTCTTCTTATTTTCCAAATATGCCACAGCCACCCCAACCTTCAGCAACCACCACCCTGATCAGTCAGCAGTCATAAACACTGAGGGAAGACCCTCCACCAGCAAAAAGATCACGACTTGCTGAAGGCTCAGATGATGGTTAGCATTTTTTAGCAATAAAGTATTTTTTAATTAAGGTATGTACATTGTATTTTTTTTTTAGACATGATGCTATTGCACTTAACAGACTACAGTATAGGGTAAACATAACTTTTATATGCACTAGGAAACAAAAAAATTCATGTGACTAGCTTTATTGCAGTGGTCTGGATGGAACTGAACCCAAAATATTTCCGAGGTACGCCTGTAATTTATAAAGCAAGTCCTTAAAATGTGAAAGACAGGCATTTGCATTCTTTATTTTAGGTAAAACCTCAGCTTAAGTTCAGTTTTACATGGCTAGTAATTTCCCTCAAGTTCTATAACTCAAAAATTTAATAGCTGTTGTGTAAACATTTGTAGAAAATGGATGTACGTAGTCTTAAACTGGGAGCTAACTTGATAGCTAAAGTTTATAACTTCACCCTTTTAAGAAAAATTTTTTATTGTGCTTTAGGTGAAAGTTTACAGAGCAAATTAGTTTCCCATTCAATAGTTTGTAGATGAAGTGTTTCGTGATAATGGTTGCATCCCCCTCAATGTGTCAACACACCCCATTTCCATCCTGGGCTCTCTGTTTCCTTTCATCTGGATTTTCTACCCCTTGCTGCCTTCTCATCTTTGCTTTTGGGCAACTGTTGTCCTTTTGATCTCTTATAATTGATGGTTCTAAGGAAAACATTCCTCTTGGGTGTTACTGTTTCTTTTATGGGCCTGTCTATTGTTTGGCTGAAAGGCAGTCTCCAGGATTGGCTTCAGTTCTAGTTCACAAGGATGTCTTAGGGTCACAGTCTTGGGGGATCCTCCAGTCTCTGTCAGACCAGTAAGTCTGGTCTTTTTTGTGAATTTGATTTTTTTGTTCTACATGTTTCTCTTCCTCTGTCCGGGATCCTCTACTGTGATCCCAGTCAGAGGGGTCAGTAGTGGTTAGCCAGGCACCATCTAGTTCTTCTGGTTGTGGGGTCATGGAGACTGTGGTTTGTGTGGTCCATTAGTCCTTTCAACTAACTGCTCCATTTAGTCTTTGGACTTCTTCACTCTCCTTTGCTCCAGATGGGCCAAGAGACCAATAGTTGTATCTTAGATGGCCGCTCACAAGCTTTTAAGACCCCAGACACTACTCACCAAAGTACACTACTCACCAAAGTAGGAAGCAGATCATTGTCTTTATGAACTATGTTGTGCCAAGTGATGTAGATGTCCCCCAAATCTATGGTCCTTCACCTTCAAGCCTCAGGATTTCATCCTGTGACGTATTACTTATATCTGTGACTGTGCCCCTTGTGTGCTCTATCGTCTATATGAGTATACACACAGCACCTACAAGTATTTATGTAGAAATATCCACAACCAAACCTATATCTGCAGGTGGGTCTAACCCATTCTTAATCAACCAAGGTCCTGGCTAGAAAGAGTATTTCTTCCTACAAAGGAAACTTTACAA